ATGGCTTCTCAGCTACAGGCAGCTCTGGAAGACATCAGCTGGGTTGTAGTCATTGCCAGCATGCCCCTAAGTCAGTAAGGGCATGAAATGAAAGGTAATAAATTCTCACCATCTTTATGTCCCAGTTATTATCTCTTTCTATCCCTGTGCTCAGAAGGACAGCTGTTCAGAACAGAGTCATATTTTGTGATTTTTATCAAAGCTCTGGCATGCTTTGTCTTTGAAGTGAAAGTCAAAACTCAAGAACAAGCAGTGTGGGAGGAGGCAGGCACAGGTACTATGCAGTCTTACATCTGCCCTATCATATTCCCTGGCCTGAGATGCTTTCTCCCACTCATTTTTGGGATCTGGTGCTCAGTCCCTCTGCAGTCTCAAGACCTGACATCTGTGTGCAGACTAGGAAAGGTCACACAGGATGGTCAACATGCAGTCCTGTTTGAGAGACAAGGCTACGAGGGAACTCTGGGGAATATGGAGAATTACTCCTTCACTACCTTTGCTAAGAAACTTCAGCCATAGTTCTAGTAATGATACTTAACAGGATTTAACTGGGAAGGGGTGGAAGACTGGAAGATTATATGCTGCAAATTTCTAGAAATTATGCCAGAAGCCTAACTGGAGAGGTCCTGAAGGCTGGACTTCTGCCCTGCATTTGGTCACAGGTCAGCCAGCCTGACAGTCTTTCATTAGTCTTCCTGTAGAAAGAGGAGATGACACTGACTCCACTATCCAACCCGGTCCTACCCTCCCTTTTCTGTCCTGAGTCCAGCCAACATCACAACAATGTTGGGGACATTGCTGATCTGTGGTTAGTCCAAATAATTTGCCTAAATTCTCTCTTCAGCAATCAACATTTTAATTCTCAGATGACTCATCTGTGGCACCGTTTGACCATTATTACGACTAGGAGCAACCACTTTCATATCTGCCTGCACTTTTACATCTCTGTCTAACGAGCAGCTTCCACTTCCACTTCTTTCTACCAACACTTCCTAACTGGAAGGAGTGTTATGACCAAGGGATCTGCCCAGTTAACAGATTCAGGCTCAACCCATCACCCTGCCCCTGCAATATGAAAGTGCTGGCCCATGTCTCCCCTACACCCTGCCAGCTCCAGTCTGCATCGCAGTCCCCAGGCTGCTGCTGATCGTCAGTATTCAGGAGCCATGTGGAGTGTACAGTGCAGAAGAGGGGGCAGAATCTGTTGTGAGGTGCACAAGAGGATCCAGAAACATAGACCACATGTTTCCTACCAAAAGCCATGGGATCCACGCTCCCAGCCTGCGCATGCAGTGTGCTGCAGGCACTGGGAGCACTAGGGCCTGGATTCACACTTCTCAGATGGCAGTCGCTGAAGCCAGAACCCACAGTGCAGCGAGCTCTGTAATTACCCAATTTATCTCTTCGTTCCATCCCGGAGAGGAGTGAAGTACCCGCGCCTTTCACTCCCCATTGGAGGCACCTGATGCCTCTTTGGGGATGACACCAGATCCACCCCATACCTTGTGCCTACATTAGCGGCAGTGTTGCCCTTTACGGTGCTGGGCACCTGGCCAGCCGTCCTGCAGCCAGCGGCCGCGCGTGCAAAGGGCCGGCGTGCTTGCACGCAGCTCCGTTCCATTCAGCCTCTCCCAGCAGCTGCTGCGGGGGTGATGGGGACAAGCATATCTGTTTTCAAACCCCCTGGGGATAGGCTTCAACAGGTCTCTTTATTCATTGATTTAAGAAATCCAGCTGCAATTATGATTAAGCCGCTGAGAAAAGAAGTCCAGGCTGAGGACTTGGCTCAGGGCAGGGCTTTTTCCACTGTGCTCACTGCTGTGCTTCCTTCGTTGTCACCCTGTCTGCACCAGCATCATGCGCATGATACAGTCACAGTGCTGAGTTCATCACTTAGCTACATATTACACCACTTTCTGGCAGCAGAAACGCCTTCTGCCAAGGTCTTGAGGCTCTGTGATAAAGGAGACAGGAAAACAATCCTGGTCACTGCCAGTGCTCACATCGACTTTGTCAGGCAGCACCAAATCCCTGATCCTCATCAGCACGATTAGCTTCTGCAAAAAAAACAGCCTTGGTCCTAATGAAATTGCAGTTTGATCTGTTTCCTCAAAGATGTCAGTGTTCCACCAGTTCAGGTTTGCTTCTATTTGGAATAAACCCTAAAATCTTACTAATCCTTACTTGTCAAGACAGTTTTGCATCTTGTGCTCATCTCTGCTGAGACCACTGTTTACCATGCTGAGCAGTTTCAAAGCAGAGACACTGGGAGGCCCACACATCTCCAGCTACTGCATAGAGTGTCCTCAAAATGAAAAATGTCACAGAATCGCAGCATGGTTGATGCTAGACAGGACCTCTGGAGATTGCCTAGTCCAACCTCCTGCTCAAAACAGACAGCTAGAGCATGTTGACCTTGTCCAATCAGCTTTTGAAGGGGAAGAGAGGAGAGGAGAGGAGAGGAGAGGAGAGAAGTGACCTGCAACAATCACCTAGTCCTCTGACCAGTTCAGGGCTGACCAAGTTAAAGCGTGTTGTTAAGGTCATTGTCCAAATGCCTCTTAAACACTGACAGGATTGAGGCACCAACCACCTCTCTAGTGTTCCAGTGTTTGAACACCCTCTCAGTAAAAAAATGCTTCCTAATGTCCAGTCTAAGCCTCCCCTGCGGCAGCTTTGAGCCATTCCCGCACATCCTCTCACTGGATCCCAGGGAGAAGAGCTCAGCACCTCCCTCTCTGCTTCCCCTTCTCAGGAAGCTGTAGAGAGCAATGAGGTTGCCCCTCAGCCTCCTTTTCTTCAAACTAGACAAGCCCAGAGTCCTCAGTCACTCCTCATAGGACATTCCTTTCAGCCCTGACACCAGATTTTGCCCTCCTCCTGGCACATTCAAGGACCTTCACATCCTGCTTAAATTGTGTGGCCCAGAACCGCACGCGGTACCCAAGGTGAGGCTGCACCAACGCTGAATACAGTGGGATAATCACCTCTTCTGCCCGGCTGTGGTGCTCTGTTGGATGCACCCCAGGATGCGGTTTGCCCTCTCAGCTGCCAGGGCACACACTGCTGGCTCATACTGAGCCTGCGGTCACCAACACCCCCAGGCCCCTTTCTGCAGGGCTGCTCTCTAGCTGCCCCTCTCCCGATTTATATTTGTGCCCAGAAACATAAAGAAGAGCCACCCTGGCCCTTCTCTTCTCCAGGATGAACAGTCCCATCTCTCTCAGCCTCTCCTCATATTGTTTCTTTCAGTAGGCAAGAACCTTCACTACTGCAGTGTTGTGGCTTACTTGAATGTGTTTGGCTCCAGCCTCTTCTTGGTTGCACTTGGACCTTTCTCAAAATACATGATTAGTAGTAGGTATTTTCTTCCCGGTATTCTCTACAATAATCATTTCATGGTTGTCTTCCTGTTTTAGATAGTTTACCTCATTATCTTCTTTAAGACAACTTCCTTATAGCCTTAAACCACAGCCCCATCATGGTTCTTTTCTGAGTTGCCTCCATCTTTCCAATTTGCTTGTAAATCTGGTACCATCCCCAGGATTGCCCTGTCAGGCATCAAACACTGATCACTCACTTCTACTTCCCACATTCTTATTTAGGCCAACAGGAACCTTATTAATTGCCTTTAACAGAGACTTGACCACCTTGAGTTGTCTGCTCCTCTTTAGCCATGCGAAGAGTCCATTAGCCTTTTTTTGACAGAATAATACAATCAGAACTTACAGAATCTTGTGTATCCTGTATGACTTGCAAAGTTTTTCAAGGGTCCTTCTGTAAAGATGTTTTTTATTCCTACATTTCCTACCTCAATACATTTCTCTTGTCTGTAAGAAAATTTATTTTGTTTGAATACACCCAATTTACCAAGTTATCCAGATCTCCTTGAGTGGCCTATTTCTTTTTGCTGTTTATGACCCTACTAATGTTTGTGTCATCTGCAGGGTTTTACCTGCAGTGGTTTTGTATTTACCTTCAAAGCATGGATGGAAATGTTGACCAGTTTTCCTTCAACTATTGTTCCTTGCAGAAACCAACCAAAATAACCAGAATATTCCTGACTGACAATTATGTCTTCTGTTCATGGGAAGTTCTCAGTTCACTTAAAGTATGCTCTACTGACTTTGCATAGTACATCTTCTTAATCAATACAGCATACTGTAGTTTTCTTTATATCAGGAGGTCATGCTTACAAAAATTGTGTGCTATAATGCTATGAATTTATTTCATCAAATGCAACTTTATTATCAAATAGAATGCTGAGTGTCTGTCATAATTTAAGCCCAGAGGGAAACTGAGCACCACACAGCCACTCACTCCCTCCTTCACCCTCAGTGAAGGGGAGAAGAAAAACAAACAAAACAAAAGGTATGAGAATCAAGACAAGGACTAAGAGGAATGACTCCCCTGTTATGGTCAAGGGCAAAAGACAGACTCAAGAGGGGAAGAAAAAGAACATCAGTTTAATTTGAACACCACTGCCACCACCACTTAATTTGCCAGTCAAACAGAGTAGGACAGTGAGAAATACAACCACAACTTAATAAAACATCTTTCCCCTCCCCCCTCTTATTCTTGGGCTCAGCTTCACTCCTGACTTCTCTACTTCTCCCCTCGAGTGGCACAGGGGGGCAGGGGATGGGGGTTGTGGTCAGTTCATCACCCATTGTCTCTGTCACTCCTTCCTCTTCGGGTGGAGCACTCATCACACTCTGCCCTCCTCCAGCGTGGGGAACCTCCCATGGGAGACAGTCCTCCATGAATTTCCTCTGATGTGAGCCCTTCCCATGGGCTGCAGCTCTTCATGAACTGCTCTAGCGTGGGTCACTTCCACAGGCTACAGTCCTACCAGCCACAGACCACTCCAGCGTGGCTTCCCTCAGTGTCCCGGCCTTCTTTGGGTGCAACCACCTGCTCCAGTGTGGGGTCCTCCATTTGCTGCAAGTGGGCATCTGCTCCACTGGTGACCTCCATGGGCTGCAGGGGCACAGCCTGACTCTCCTTCCCCTTTCTTCAACTGACCTTGGTGTTTGCAGAGGTATCTCCCTGACAATTCCTCCTTCTCTCGGGTTATGTTATCACAGAGCCATGGCCACCTTTGCTAATTGTCTCAGCCTTGGTCAGAGGCAGGTCTAACTTGGAATTGGAGAAGCTTCTAGAAGCTTCTCACGGGAGCCACTTCTGTAGCCCTCCCCCCCATTACCAAAAACTCACCACACACAAACCCAACACACTGTTGCATTTCCAAAAGCCATGTTTCTATTCTATAATTCTCTGTTAGCAAGCACCTGTATCAGATTTTCCATTTTTTTTCACTTAATAGTTGTCAGCTACCTGGCCTCTAGATCCATTGGTCTTAGGGCTTCTCCGCTTTAAATACATGAACTGTGTTAATAGTCTAACACTCCTCTGCTATTCCTACAGTAATTAAAGAGTAACTAAAGCCAAATCTGGGTGGGCCAGAGTTGAGCAGCATTTATTAAGTTTTTGGGTAATTAAAGATTCTAAGAGATGGAAGCGGAAAGAAAACTGTATCTTGAACAGGGTGAGCATGATGCTGATCAATAAGGTAGCTTGGGGAGTTGAAAGGAAGTCACAATAAATGATGTAGGGATCAGGAAAAGTACACAAGAGTAGTATGGAGGTGATGTTGCTGAGAGAGGAATGAGCAAAAGGTGTTTAGCAGGTGATGGGTAGTAGAAAGGGAATGTTAGTGGGGAAGATAAGTAATGGTAAAATGCCAGTGAGTGAGAAGAAGCCAGAAAAAGAGAGCTGGAGATTGGGAAACTACAGAAGACTGTGTGCAGGAAAGGATATGAGGTGAAAGAAAAGCTGGGATGCTAGAAAGTATGGTGTTGGAACAGTGCATTCTTAGAATTTACAAAGTCACTGAGAACGGAAACAGCTGGGAATGTTTCCAGCAATAGGATCAGGCTAAAATCTGGAAGAGATTACCAACAGTATAATCCTGGGGACTGGAAAGAGGTAGCAAAGTAAGAAGAGCTTCTAACCCCTAATTCTCTCCTTGCTACCTCTTTCCAGGATTAAAATGTGTACCTAGAAATATATTAAGGGATTAGAAGAGGTGTGTTGCTGAGGAAGCATTAAAGTGATGAAAGGAGGTGGGAAAGAGAAGGTCTTCTAGAGGGATTATCGGGCATCTAAAAGAGTGTGAAGGTCATCCTTTTCAGACCTGAAGGCAGTACAGGGGAGGAGGTGTGCTTGGGTAGTCTTGGAAATGGTTCCTTGGGATTGAGGCATTCAGGAGAATAGAAGCAGGGAAGAAGTGGTAGGGGAGGGTCATACAGAAAGGGTCTGGCTCTATGAGGAGGGAGCAGTCAGTCTGGAGGAGGATGAGGAGTGAGAGCAAAGCAATGGTGTAGGACTGCTTGGGAGTATCACTAGGGGAATTCTGCTGGGGTTATTTATACAGATAAATTTATGCACACTGTGGTTACAGCTCCTCTGTTAGCCTTTCCCAGTGATGCCCAGTCTGACCATCCCTCACAGTGCTACTGTCTTTTCAGCTGAATCATACATGTGGACATTCATGGCAGTGAGCTCACGTTTCCACTTGCACCTAAGCAACTCGAGGGGTGAATTGTGCTTCAGCAGGGCTGTCAGTGTTTGCAGAAGGACATTTTCCTGAGTGGCAGGAAGTAAAGGGGGACACTTGTGCAAACTGACACAGACTCATGCTGCTAACAACCCTCTGTGCAGAAGAGCCAATCTGTCACCTGGTCCTGAACACAAGGAAATGGGAAGAAATGCACAGCAGTGGGCAGGTTACAACATGCAATTCCCTGTGGCTTTCTCCAACACCCCACCTCCATGGGTCCCACCACCTTCTCAATGCCATCATCAGCCCCCAGCAGGCACATGCTGGATGCTCCCCAGCACCTCCACCCCACCAGCCTGAAGCCACCCTTCAAGGGTCCTGCTGGAGGCCCAGGCAGCATCCAGGGGTGGCCCCTGACTCACTCAGGTTGTCCTGAGATGGCCACAGGCTCTGTCATGCCCCTGCTCTCCCACAGCAAGCTCTCCCCAACAGGCATTTTATTATGAGGGAAAAAGAGCCACATACAGAAACATGAAAGTACATATTTTGCTCTATTTTGAGACAAGACAGGTGCTGCAGCCCCTAGAAAATGCTCTGAAGTCCCTGTGGCCAGGAAGTGAGTGGGTGTTTCACATGTAGACAGTTGTTTCCAAGAGAAAGGAGAAGCACAGGGAGGTGGTACAGGCCAGCACTGAGCCATGGGGTGAGGACCATCAGCTGGGGAAGGAGCCTGGCTCCATGGCAGCAGGGACATTGCTGCAAAGAAATTGCTCTCCAGGTCACCATGGCCTCTCAACACCAAGGCCACCATGGTGCCCCAGACCCCAAAGCCCCTGACAGGGTGACACCCGCTTTCCCTCCCCCCACGGGGAGCGGGCTCTAGGGCTTCACCAGAGCCTCCTCACTGTGCCTGTCCTCCAGCCGCCAAGGGCAATCGACGTAGCGCAGCGCCCCACTGACAGGGCCACGCTTGGCGGGATCTAGGGCCAGCAGGCTCCGCAGCATCAGGGCAGCCTCGGCTGTCAGGCGTTTCCAGTGGCGGGGCAGGTCCTCCTCCAGGCCTGTCTCCTGCCACAGCATGAAGTCCTCAAAGAAAGGGTCATCTGGCAGGCTCTGCTCCCAAGGGAAGTAGCCAGTCAGCAGGCAGAAAAGCAGCACGCCAAAGGCCCAGGCATCCAAACTGGTGTCAATGGGCACCCCCTGGGCATCAGCAGTGTTGCTAAGCTCCGGGGCGGTGTAGGGGATTACGCCAGCCACCAGCTTGAGCTTGGTACCCTTGGGCCGCGTAAGCCCGAAGTCAGTCAGCTTGATGCGCCGACACTCAGGATCGAAAAGCAGCACATTCTCAGGCTTGACATCACGGTACACAAGCCCACGGCTGTGGATGAACTCCAGTGCACTCACGAGCTGCTTGGCACACTGCTTGGCAGCCGGTTCAGGGATCCCATCCTGCATTGGGAGAGAGACAGGTGGTACAGCACACTCAGGGCACCTTGGCAGCCCTGCCAGCTGGGCTCTCACCTGCATGCTCTGCACTGGGGAAGACATTTGCATTTCTGGTCTTGCAAGCCTGAAGCTGCTTTAATGCTGTAGACCCCAGAGAGACCCTCAGCCCATTGGCTTTATTGCCCTCCCTCCAACCCAGCCAGCCTCCACAGGGACCAAATGCTACCGTCCCAGTCCCCATAGCCTTGTAGCAGCACTCACCCGGGGTTTGATGATAGAGATGAGGTCTTTGTGCAGTGCTGGTTCGTAGAGGAAGCCATAGTACTGGCTGGACTCGATGGCAATTCCAAACATGCTGATGATGGCAGGGTGGGTGGCAAGGGAGAGCGCCACACAGTATTCATACAGGAAGGTGTGCAGCTTAGTACTGGCTTTGGGTAGCAACTTGAGAGCCATAGGAGTCCCTGGGGATGGAGAGTGGATTAGGCCCCTCTGAAGGTCACTCACACCAAGGCCAGACAGAGAGGGCACTGAGAAGCCATGGGTCCAGACACTCACAGCCACAGGGAGGTCTCTGGCCTAAAGCTTTGTGTGGACATATCCTGTGGACACCAGATCTGAGAGCAGGCACTGGTGTGGGTTTTAAGCCAGCCAATGCATACACAGGAGCACTAGGCAGAACAAGAGAAATTCAGGCTATGTGGGCCCATCAGTCTGAGCTGGGACTACTGGGGAAGAGTAGTATCAGGGCTCTGTGGGCAGTCATAGGCCTTAATGGCCTTGGCCAGCCCCACCTAAAACCTCCATCCACACCATTCTGTCCGTGGTGACCATTGAAGTTCAGACTCAGGGCTTCACTCCCTGCCTGAGCTGTATGGTGGGGAGTGCTGGTTTCCAGCTATATCACATCCATGCTGGTGCCTAGCCATGAAACCTCTCAATCCTGACTTGTGGATTAACTTCCTGGCTTGACCTTGGACCTGCATCGTCACTGTATGGTGATCATCATCACACAGCCTGGTGTTCTGGGCTGCCCCCTGCTATCACCTGCTCCCTGTCTGGGTGCAATGGGATGGTCCCTGTCCTGCCAGTCTCCCTGGGGATCCCTCACTGTGCCTGGTGCCTGGTCCCAAGGAGCCACTAGCCCACCTGGTGCCCTGATGAGTGGAAAGGAGACAAGGCACAGTAGCTCATAGGAAGCAGTCAGTTCCTTACCTCTCTGCCTGTGGGTCACTAGCATCACGTGGCCATACTTGCCCCTGCCCAGCTCCCGAATAACCTCATAGTGCTCGGCCACCTCAGTGCGCACCAGACTCTGAGCTGTGATCTCCAGGAGCTCATCTAGCACGGTTGGTGCTGCTGTTCCTGCCACTGCCGCAGCTGAGCTCTCGGCCATTGCTGAGTGCTGCAGAAACACCACAGCCTGGGTCAGGAACATCACAACATGCATAGAGAAAACCAGATCAGACACACCACACAGACCATGCTGTGGCAGGGAATATTTCTGCCGCTTAGAGTATGAGCACTCTCACAGATGTGCTAGAGTTGAGCTCATGCTTTTATGCAGTATGCCTCTGGGCAAAGCCCCTCCTCTTCATATAAAAGATCCCTGTATTGAAGTAAACCTCCTTCAGCCCTCTAATCCTTTCTGGCCTCTAGAGAGGTCTAATTGTAGTCCCTGGGGCCTCTCATTTCCAAGACCTGGATCACCTTTCTGTGTCAGCTATACTAAAGCTTGGTCTTCCAGGCCTCCTCTTATTCTAAGTGTTGCCTAACACCTTGGAGTGTTAGGCAACAAGCAAAACATTCAGAGCCCCAGATTACCAAGTGTGACCCGGTCCTCTTGCCATCCTTAGCCTACTGCAGCCAGACCATGTCTCTCTGCTCAGAAATCCACCTCTACTGCTTACTGAAGAAAGTCCTTGAGGTAGCAGCCCCTTAGGTAGAGGCACAGCTAGCCCATGACAAAGAAGAGATTACTAGTCAGAGGCAGTGTGTTCCAAGCAAGACGAAGGACCTCACACGCCTGCTGACATTTCTGACCCAAAGTCACTCATCTGTGCAGCCAAGAAACTTAGGCAGGAAGGAAGCTTGGACATCAATGGCATTTTGAGCTACAGCCAGCTGCCTCAGACCCATTTCAGAGAAATGTTTTTTCAGTTCCCCCAGCCAGCTACCAGGCAGCATTTTAAGGCATCTGTGGCAGCACTCTCCCCCTGACTGCCTCCCTGTGCTCTGAACACAGGCACCCCAGGCCTGGGAGCTCCTCCTGGCTCTGGAGCAAGGTCATAGAATAGTCACAGGGTGGTCGAGGTCAGAAGGTACCTCTGGAGATCACCTAGTATAACCTCTCACTCAGAGGGAAGTTAACTTAGAGGAGATAGCTCAAGGACTGTGTCCAGTCCAGTTCTGAATATCTCCAAGGATGGAAATTCCACAACTGCTCTGGGAAACTTGTTCCAGTGTTTGATTACCTTTATGGTAAAAAAGATTTTTCTTATGCTTAAATAGAAATTCTGTGTTTCAAGCCCACTGCCTTTTGTCCTGTCACTCAGTATCACTAAGACTACTCTGGCTGTGTCTTCTTCACAGGTTTTTCTACACATCAATAAGATGATCCCCACAAGCCTTCTCCTCTTGAGGCTAAACAAGTCCCAGCTCTTAGCCTCTCCTCATATGAGATATGCTCCTATATCTTAATCATCTTCACAGGCTGTATTTGTTCCAGTAGGCCCACATCTCTCTTCTGCTGAGGAGCCCAGAACTAGACCCACTACTCCAGATGTGGCTTCACTAGTGCTGAGTAGAGCAGAAGGATCATCTCCCTCAACCTGCGGGTAACACTTTGCCTAATGCAGCCCACAATGCAACCCAAGAGCCTGAGGCTTGCAGCACTCTTGGATGTGTCTTAAACATTGTGCAGTAAGACAGAGCACTGGTGTAAAACCAGTGGCTCAGCCCTGCACCTACAAACTCAGGATCTCTTCTCATGAAACGTTCTGACTCACATGACACCTTCTGGGGTAGAGAATAGGACCTCACATTGCTAAAAAGGAAGATGACATCCTGGGAATATGAATGGGAACAGGCAGAATGAAGCCTTTTCCCTTAGTTTTTACATTGCTCTATCTGTGACCAGAGCTTATTACAGCCCCCACTGTCGCTAAATCTGGTCATTCTTAAGAATCCAGTAATTTAACGACAGAATTATTTAAACCTAGGAAAATTTGTACAGGAGACTACTTATGAGATAGTTCCTCTTTTCTTTTCTTTTCTTTTCTTTTCTTTTCTTTTCTTTTCTTTTCTTTTCTTTTCTTTTCTTTTCTTTTCTTTTCTTTTCTTTTCTTTCCTAGACTGCATTGTTAAATCTTATCCAATTCAGAAGTACCAAGTAACTGGCCATACTTTTGTGCAAAGGCTTTGGCTTGGCATGAGAGCCAACAGCAATCAGTTAGTACAGTCCATAGGGAGTTCAACAATGAACAAGTGTGTGCATGGGAGGGTATGAATGGAAGGCTGGGAGAAACTCACAGGGAAAGACAGTCTGGAAAGTATTTTAGAGATTTCGCTTTGATGTCCTCCTGTTTGCCGCCCAGCCAGCACAGCTTGTGAAATTCCACACAGCAATTGCAGAAACCACAAACCAACCCACTCTCCCACCAACATTTCCAGACTGGTGTTGCCACATTTAGGTGTTGAAATGAATAGCTAAAAAAGCCTTTTAAAGAGTTCTAGCTAGAAAAATAGAGAAGAAACTTAAAATGTAATAGACCCTTGAAAGGTATGAGCTTTCACTTGATATTAGATAGGCTAAAACCACACTAAATAGGGAGTGGAACAACAGGAGAGATGTCTGCTTGTCTTGTGCAGAACACTTCAGATTTATATTTGTGAAAAAAAAAAAAAAAAAAAAGGATCTCTTCTGTAAGACAGTGTTTCTCCTGTATCAAATTCATGGTCATATACAAGTTCTTGTCAGCAAATGGTTCACAATCTTCTTGGATAACTTAATTTCTCAAACTTGAGTTAGATAAAATTTCTTCCCTTGTAGGCTGGCCACCTGTTAGTGCTATCTAACCCAAAGGTTGGAATCTTCTCGCTGCATCCACTTAATGTATTACTCTATAATAATATAGTTTTCAAATATCTATTCATTCATCTGTTTTTATTTGTATTGAATTATTTATTATATGATTCATCTATACTTTTTAAAATATGATCCATTACTTTTCTCCTATTTACTGTGTGAAAATTTGCTTTTGTGAATGGGAGGATCTGCTTCTCCGTATATTCTTAGTTCATTTCAGTCTATAATCTTTTGCAATTAAAAAAAAAAAATAAAAAAAACCCTCTTCTGTCCTTCCACTCCACCTTCCAAGTGAACTGCAATACAGGGGGCAAGGATCCTTGCTTCCATGCATAGCCCCATTAGCATGGGAGGGCAGATTGTCTGGGTACAGATTAGAGCATCAAAGTGAAATAACTGGCTTGGAAAAATGGATAATCCAGAGGATATGGGTAGGTGTTCTGAGGGACAGTGACAATCCCATGGGTCTCATCAGGGCTCCAAATGAAGGAAGCCCCAGCTGCAGCCACTCCAGAACAGTCTGTGGGCTTTGGCCCTTGCTGTCCTTGAGGAAACTGAACACGGGACACAGTCCATACTTCAGCCAAAGTTATGAAGTCTTTCTCTGAGATACCACTGCCATTAGCTAGGAAGCTATGGGAGGTCCAAATCTGAGTTACCACTGAGTAGAGTGTGCCTGAGGGCCCTGCATCTACCTCTGTTATCTTCTAGTGTGCTATTTGCCCTTTGGAGAGTTGGGGAGGAGGCCACCAGGGCCCTGGCCAGAATGCACTCATCCTTTTCAAAACTGTTCTTTCCTCCAGTACCTCCAGTACCCTTCCTGTGCTTCATCCCTGCTAGAGGTACTGTTTCCAGGCTGTCAATGTGTGAGAAACCCTAATTCGCCAACAGTCTCTAATTACAGCAGCAAGAATATCACATCCTTTCCACCATCAGGACATGCTTCCAAACTTCCTGAGGAGCTGAGAAGGAGCTAGCTTACAGAGGTACAGTGTCTTAGTCTAGCTAATGTTATTCTGGTTCTCCAACCAATTAATATGTTTGGTCCAGAAAAGCACTTCATACACGTCAAGAGCCAGAGACAGTGCAATCTCTGTATAACAGAGACAGTTCTATGATGAAAGAATCACAGAGGTGTTTAGGCTGGAAAGGACCCATTAAGATCATCTCATCCAATTCCCATGCTCAAGCAGCAGCAGCAGCTGAAGCAGGTTATCAAGGAAGATGTCCAGTCAGGTTTTTAATATCTCCACAGATGGAGATTCCACAACCTCTCTGGGCACCCTATCATGCTGTTTGACCACACTCACAGTAAAAATAATTTTTTTAAAGAAAATTAAAAGTGTGTTTTCTTGTATTTAGATGGAATTCCTTGTCTCCTGATTTGTGCATGTTGCCTCTTGCCCTGTCAATGAGCACTGCTGAGAAGAGTCTGGCTCCCTTTTCATTATTCCCTCTCATGAGGTATTTATATACACTGGTACTACTCTCTGAGCTTTCTCTTTTCCAAGATTAAGCGTTTCAGTTGTCTCACCCTCTCCTCATATCAGAGATGCTCCACTAAGAATGGTCTTGAGCATATGGCATGTAGAGTCCATTTTCTTGTCTGACCTTCTACAGAGCTTTAACCCAAACCAAATAATCAACACTTGGGGCATCTCTTACAAAAAATCATGCGGACTTGATCCAAAAACAAACTTTGGCTAACTATAAAAGCCAGTGTTAACATTCTTGCTGTTATGTATTTATACAATATCCCAATCCAAATTTACTTAACCTGCTGCTAAATTTTCTCAGCTAGACAAAAGAGTATTTTAATGCATGTTTTGTTCCTCCTGACTCTTGCAGGGTTTATATCCATTGGGGTCAGAGGTATGACCACAGCCTGTGAGAACATATTTTAAACTACTTAGATTGAGTAAAACTAGCAGAGTACAGCATGAAACTCAGGCTATGTATTTAGCCAACACTTTATTTAGATTTCACAAACCGTCTGGCACCCCGTGCTTCTGTAGTGCCCATATCAGTTAGTTTAAAAACAGATAGAATGCTTCCAGAAACTGTAGTCACATTTTGAATTTTGAATAAACACCTCCATGCACTCTGATCAAGACACGTCTCAGTCTTCTTACTGGTTAAATGTCTTCAAGCAACCTTCTGTTCAATTCTCAAACCAAGGGCTTTTGTCCAGCTCTCAGATCTGTTTTATGGCTCTTTTCTGAAGCCTCACCATTTTTTCTGCCCCCCATGTTAAAACACTGACTGCTCCCAGGGAGAATACCTCTTGTGGCACCTTCAGCTAGAAATGCCCTCTTCCTCATGCTATGGCCCCAAGATCTCTTTCTGCTGGAACACCACCCTGAGAGGCTGCACTACCTTATACATCTATTATAACTCCAGAGCTTTTCCAAATTAGTAGGGTTTTGGGAGAAAAACTCCACTCCTCTTCACGTCTCTTTCTGGGTATTGCCTGCCTTGTTTCTACCGGAATACTTTTCCACCACCTTTAATAAAGCACATTTTGCTTGAATAGGCTCATATATTAAGTAATTCTGACCACTTCATGTCTCTATTGTTATCAAACTACATTCATTTCTGTCTAGGGGCTGTGTAAGGACCCTCTGTGCGGAGTTTTCCCACCAACCTCCAAACCATTAGTGGGAGTTTGGAGCAGTTCTCAGCCCAGTATTGGTTCCTACAGCACCTTCCAGAAACATCCAATTCACTGACCATTCCCTGAAAGCTATCCATACAAATTCATCCTAAAATTCATCAAATCAATAAGCCACATATTTTTAATTGATTGAAAAATAAGCCCAGTATAGTGGGAATTATCATGGTTTATTGGTGTCCTCACCCCACCCAATAAATTTTGTTAAATCCTGACTCTAATACTTTTATGTTTGTCAATTATTTAGAAAAAAGCACGGAAATAATCCAGAAAATGTTTGCAAATGACACAAAGTGGGTTTGGGTAGTTAATGGATTGCTTGACAAAACTAATGCACACATATACACAAGTGTTTCAAATGACCAGAGAAGTCAGGAGTTTAGTCTGGCATTGAGTGACAGGAAAAAAAAAAAAAAAAAAAGGAAATGTCACATTAATCAGATAAATCTAAGTTCTTCACACTGCTTTGCAGATAAATTAGGCACTGTGTAAACCCAGAAATATATAGATCTGGTATAGCCTCACTTCCTTTGCAGACCTTAATGTGTAGGATGATAGAGAATTGTACTAGAAATAATCTACAGTGTTACAGATACACATTTTAATGATGCAAATATAAGTCTAAGAGAGTAACCGTGCAAGGATTATTGAAGTTGCAGATTTCACTTTTTGCATTCACTCTGCTGAAGAGAATGCCTAAAAAGACATAGGAAATGGCAGCAGAGACAAACTAGCCTTTTCTAGATGCTAGATTAAGAAAATAAGATACACTGTAAATAAAAATATAGATATAGCCGTTCAGCTTTTCATAGGCTAAGATAGATCATAACAAAGGAAGAGATCTGTTCTGAGACAATGTGCCTCTTACAGTGAACTCTAGTTTCTGCAGAGGTTCCTACACACAGATGTCCTGAGAGAGTCTGAAACTTAATCTCTGAAAATCAGCTGAGTTAGGAAAGCTGTATTTCTGAAGAGTTGACCACCTGCTAATGACTTCTGCACTAGAAATGAGAAGACTGTGCACCCCTGGATTTTGTATTTTTATTAGAAACACATTCGTTCCATTTGCCCTGCTTTGCATTACTATTTATCTACTTTTTAATGGGATTTCTTTGAATGTTAAAAATCTACTAATGTGAAAGCCTCATTTCTTTAGGGTAAATTTCCTGAACTCTTTTGGAGGCCAGATGATGGGTCAACATAATTAGCTATTGGATATTTTCTATCTTTTCAATTGTACTGGTTCAGCAAACTAACACTAGTGTCCACATTTTTGATAGAAAAAGGACCAGAGGAGAACCAGGAGAATGACAACAGAGCTGACAATTACAGGGGCAACTTTCCAGGGGAGCAGTCTTTTTAGCTTATCAGATAGCGAAGGAGTGACTCTATCATCTGTATGTACATTTGTGGGTACTAGAAATTCACTGAAGAGGCCCTGCCAATTAAGTAAGCATTATAATAAAGCCCAATAGCTGAAGCTGAAATCAGGGAGACCTCAGTTGTCAAGCAGATTTTGTGAAGAAGGATATTTGCCCCTAAAAATCTCATCAAACAGTACCAAGAAGCATCCCTCCACCTCTGGGACTTTTATTTGAAGAATGGCACTTCTTTTTTTTCCCCTGGGAGGTCCACTCTAGTGCAAACCACATTTAATACAGGCAATAGATCAGAACAGATTACTGCAGTGGTTGATTCTGGCCTTATGACTTATAGATTTATGAGCTTCTTTCTAAAGCTGGTCAGCAGGCTAGTTCTTAATCTCGCTGCGGCAAACTGCATGACTGTCCCCCTTACCACAACTGCGTATTGCTCTTCTCAAGCAGAAAGACCTAGCAGCCTCCCCAGAAAAGAGCCCCGTAAACCTCTCTCCAACAAGGAGTATGAACACAGTCTCTGCACAGCAGCCTCCTTGGACAGAATTCGGCAGCAATTTCACTGGGACCGAGCCACTTCACACCCTCCTCGCAACCAACCAGCCGATACCGTGGCACCATCCCACCAGACACAACTGGACACAAAGCACCCTTTTGAGGCAGAGCCACCTAATGAGCTCACCATCAACCAGATTGGGAAATGAGTGCACTCCAATTGTGCTAGCGTGCTGTGCCGAAGTCTACAAAACTGGTTCGTGATGGGTGGGTGCCCTTTTACGTACCTGTCCATTCTCCTTCATCCTGCCACAGCTCTAACTTCACTTCCCACACTCCTTCCCCGTCAGTACCAAGCCTCTCACCTTCACCAGCAGCGCAGTGTGGACAGACGGCCGTGGGCTGCCTCGCTTCCCTCGCTGCCGCCTCTGGGCTGGGTCCAGCCTGCGCTGAGCAGCCGGAGGGAGCTGCCAGGCATTACGGGGCTAAGCGTGACGCTCCGCCCCTTCCCCACGGCTTTGGTCCTGGGGGCACACTGCCTCCCTGCTGAAGGTGACCTCTGGGAGGGAAGAAAAGAGGGGAAACGGGGGCAGGAAGGGGGGCTATCCATCTGCCCCGTTTATGGAAGGGGAGGTGTTGCAGGGATCGGGGTGGGGTGATTATTTCTGCTCTAGCCATACCATCGTAAGCCCCAGGGACCCTCCAGCAAATCCACTCTTTTCAGCCCTTCCCTCCAGCTTGGGTTCTTGTTACAGCTGAGGGAGCAAAGCCGCTCCCTGGGCTGGTGCATGGTCATTGCTCTGGGGCTGTGCCAAGCAAGAGTACATCTCTTATGGCAGGGCTCAGAGCAACCGTGGGCTGCCAGTGCTTTGCTCTTGGCCACCAAAGGGGCCAAAGACATGCCAGTCACAATTGCCTGCATCAGAGACCAGGCACAAACCATAACTGGGTCAAGGCCCTTCATGGGGCCCGGTGGGCCAGACTCCTTACACACACCAGTACTACAGACCATTACGGCAAAGCTGAAATTATTAATGGTAGTTACAACGACTTGCAGGCTTTTCACCTACTCTCAGTACCTCCATCCAGACTATATTCCTGTGCCAAAGCCCTCTTTCTTCCACTTGAGTGTGGAGAGGAAAGCAGCTCTTGGGGACATAGACATCATGCAGGTCCTAGATCCTGGCTCTGAAGCACTGTTTTTTTCCCTCAAGGTGGATCAATTTGTGAATCTGAAGCAGTCATGCATGTAGCTGTGACACAGGAGTGTCACAGCATGAGTCTCCCTGTTCCCTAGAGCTGGGGCCATGCAGGGGACCTGTAAGGCTTAAGCTGCCCTGATCAGCCTCTGTGCTCCCTCTGAGGGCACAGTATGGTGAGGAAGGCTGAAAGAGGACAGAGGTGGAAGAGAGTCTAACAGAAGAGAGCAGAGCAGCCCCCATAACCATAGGTGTTCTGGGTGTCCAGCACAGGACTAAACCCTCTTGCCTGATCTCTGAAGGGAGGATAATTACACCAAGGACTTGGCACTCAGTGCTCTGCCCCACATACGGGCAATAAGATGAGATGCACTGGACTGCTGTCACAGACCTGTGAAGAGCTAGTCTGCTGCCAGTCAGAGATGGTGTGAATCAGAGGGCAAAAGGAGTGTCACATTTAGACTCCCAGCTGTCCCTGTGCTCCTGGATAAGAGGTGGGGAGTGAGATTGTGGTGCTGATGACCTAATGGTTTTGTGCCATTCATGGCTGCTCCTTCACACTTGAAGGATGCTCCAGTGATTGTGAAAGGCCTTCAGCGTGCAAAGTCCCTACAAGCAGAAACATTACAGCTGGGAGCGGTTGTGAGTCTTATAGGAGAAACCTATCCAATATCCAAGAATTCTGCACTGGAATAAATGGTGTAGTGTAACTGCAGCTCTCCAGGAACATGGCCACTGTATTATCTAGTCTTCTGGGGGACAAAATGGGTGAGACTGTTGCCTCTACTTGAGACACAAGTCAGAAGACGAATTGAGAGGTGTCCCTGGAGACTTACTTGAAGTCACAGTTACAAGGCAATGCTGGGAAAGGAGCCCATGTTCCCTGACTCACCAGTACCTCTCTCCTCCACTCCAGTCACTAACTCAAACCTGCTTCAATATCTAGGAATAAAATACACTAGTCTTCCTGATTTTCCAGCTAATTTTTTAAGAGAGAGAATCCCTATGTTTTCCATTCCTACGTTTCAGGACCTCTGTAATTTAAAACCTACAGCTATCTCCCATGCTACACATTTTGTCCTGCTGGCAACCAAGATATTGTTCAAGATGGATCTGGAAAGACAATGTAATCAAGATCACCTTTGTCTTTCAGAAAGTTGGTCCCAGTCTGTGGACTTGAGGATACACTGTCTCCAGCCGTGCAGAACAATTTTCCTTCAGCACCATGAGCAGACCCACAAAGAATCTTTCAATAAGTCAAGGTCTGTTGTGGATCTCTACACATACTTCAAGCAAAATCTGTAGACAACCATTGGAGGTTAATGGAAGGGGAAAAGTGGAAGAGGGGTGGAATTACGAGTGGGTATTAATGGCAGTTCTGTTCAGATTGCCTAATGTTGTCCATTGCAATGACTCCTTTCAGAGGCACCAACAGCATCTAGGGTGATGGAAGTTTTGATGCCATTTGAACGCCAGAGAACAATTTCGGTGGTACGGAGGCTTATCAGCAGGGGTATCTGTAAGAGAAAGCTGCTGAAATATGTACATCAAGCTCCTTTATCAAGACCTAAAATGGCACTGCTCTTTTAATATTGTAGTCTATGGCAATACTCAGTTTGTCTATATATCTTCAAACTTACCATAAGTATTTACCCAGAACATCACTGATGGTAGCTTTTTAGAGCAGTTACAATCCCTTCATTTCCAGCACTCAGTTTTGCTCAGTCCTTTTCAGAACCAGTTTTGTGCCTGATGCTGGGGTGGGAATAGCTCTTTGACTTTCCCCATTGCCTTCCTACTTCTTCTATTAATAATTCTGTGAGTTTCCTCCCCTCCAGCCTCAGCAGCAGGCAAGCAAGCCAATCTGCAGGGTTCTAGAGGGTAGGGGCTGCCTCCTGGACAGATAGCTGGGGCTCTAAGCTCTTCTCGGCACAAGCAGGGTGCTCAGAGGACTCCACCAGCTGTGCAGACCATTTGTGCTCTGAGGTCATTCAGAGCTACCCCATCGCTGAGGAATCCGCTGGCTGCTTTCCTGACAGTGCCATACAATGTCCCACCTTGCCTGCCAGCTAACACAACATGCTCATGCTGAGCCCAGGCCCTGCTCCCCAGAGATGCTTCCCAACCACGCTCCCCAGCTCCAGCAAAGCCCCTCACACCCAAAACCTCTTGTTACCCACTGGCCACCATATCTGTTTCAAAAAACCCTACCCGGTCCCACTCCAGCCTACTCCCTGCACACTACTGTTGGGTGCACTGGATGCAGAATGGTTGCAAGAGGCAGCACTAATCCACTGGGATCCATGAGCACTGGTCCCAGTGCCTCAGAGCAATGCTGGGGCAGTGCTTTTTCACAAGGATGGGAACACACAATAGCTGTATTTTTATCCTTTCCCATTGCAATCTCTCCCAGTCTCCCCTCCAGGGCTTAAAGCAATATACAGTATCCAGTATCCAGGATGCACATCAGCCTTCTCCCTGAGACTTAATAACTTATTTGCCACCACAGGTACAGCTAGGGACCGTCCGTTGGACAGCTCAGCTTGTAACACACTGGCCTGAGACAGTGCCATTGCAGGAGGCTGAGCTGGATGGGGCTCTGAATGATGTGGCGACAGAGCCTAGGGAGGGAAGGGCTGTGGGGGGCTTTGCAGGAGAAAAGTGGGACTTGGGTGATGGGGCAGAGAAAACATGTTCTGCTGGGAAAGCTTTGTTCAGGGCAGAGAGAGGGACCAGCTTCCCTAAATGACAGGGAGCCAGGAGACAAGGGAGATAACAAGGTTGGCAGGGCAAGGACTCTCCAGCCAAGGCTTGTCCCACAGTTTCCCACAAGCTGAGAGCAGAAAAGGCCCAGGGATAGACTCAGGTTCAGCTAAGAGTTGAGACCATCAGGTAAGCTTTTGATGAAGCAGATCCAAGGTCCAGCTGAGAAGTTGTTTTTTGTGTCAGGGTCAGTCCCAGCAGTGGTAGCCAGTACCAGACACAGTTCAGTGATTGCCAGGCAGTCTGAGGTCAAGCTGGGAAGTCAGTCCATGTGCCAGGGTCCAGACAAACAGCATCTATGGGCAGAAACAGTCATAAAAGAGGTGGAGACAGACCATAATACAGCTCAGGCAGGGAATAAAAGCCCAGGGCTGAGCTGAAATGGGTCTCCTGCTCCCATGGGCAAAGGTTGAAAATAGAGGCTCAGGTGAGGTTGGTCAGGGCCATCAAGACCTATCAGTACCCTTGGGGCAAGGCAAAATGGTGTCTCCTGCCTAACTCTCAACTTTTCAACAGCTTTATGTGTACCTCTAGCAAGAGGCTGGAAGTCAAAGGATGCTCCCACTCCCTGAGGAAGGGTGATCCCTCCTGTGCTACCTCACCTCATTTCTACAGCTTTGTCTTCACAGGGCATCAGGTCAGTGCCCTGTAAAGCATCTTCCACCAACCAACCCCTAGGGACCACTGCTGCTGGACCCCCCCCAGCATCAGGGTTTCATCTAACGTCAAGTCACTGTACAGGCCTCTCCTGGGACTGTCCACAAATTTGGGAGGGAGGGATATGTCCCCCACGGGGTGTCAGCAGTATGTCCCTGCTTTCTGACATGTCTGGGTGACCGGGGGACTGGGAGCACTCATGGGTGCACAGTTGGTGCACACAGGTCAGCTGAGCTCTGGCACTGGCCAGGGGCATCGCAGCATCTCAGTGCCAGGAGGCCCCTCTCAAGGCCAGTTTGTGCTTCCCAGCACTCACCCCAGGGCTGCTTCAGCCAAGGTCATTCCTGGATAAAAGTTTTGACCTATTTTCTCTGCAAGACGTCCAGTGGCATAGAGTCCCTGCTGCCTGCAAAACTGCCTTCTCTAAAGAAAAAATGACAGAGGAGAGAAGCTGTAATAGCTATAATAAATAGATATAATAAAATCTTGAGGTGGATATATAAGATGAAAATAAATTACTGCTCACTGCCTCTTCAAAAGACAAAACACAAGAACTAGAGGCAGGTCCAAAACAAACACATGGCTTCTTCATGCAGGATGCCTTCAGCCATGGACACCTTGCCTCAGGAGAGTGTGGGTAATAAATGTTTATGTGGTTTCATAAAATAACTGGATGGAGACACTGCAGAGGAAAAGCACAATTAAATACAAAGATTCAAAACCTGTCTCAGACTGCTGGAGGCTAGGACAATATTTGGAGTATTTACTACATACTTCCTTGCTCTTATATCTTCCACAGGGAATTTGCCACTGGACAATCTCACAACCAGGATATAGCATTAAACTGTTTTATTCTGATCTGGTTGAGCTGTTCTCATTCATTCCACTAATGAAATGCTCCGGAAGCAGAAGTGTGCTGCCACACCCATT